TTTTTTTTTTTTTTTTTTTTGAGACAGAGTCTTACTAAGTTCCCCAGGCTGGCCTCAAACTTGCCATTTTTCTGCTTCAACCTCCCAAATAGCTTAGATTATAGGTATGTGCTACTACACCCAGCTTGCCATAAAGGTTTTATTATGTCAGAACCCAACTTTGTCACTCCAATCTCTGTCAAGGTATAGTATCAATACTGCATAACATACCACCAAAATATGATAGCTTAAAATGGCAACAAGCACTTACTGGCTTAGTGTTCTGCAATACAAATAGGCTAAGTGGTGAGAGCTTGTCTCTATCACACAGTGTTAGCTGAGCTGGTTTCACTTGGGCTGGAGAACGATGACTACAGTCACATTTCTAGTGTCACAGTTGAAGTGACTATGATGGGAGCTAATTGGACCGACTTCTCTCTGTAGTCTTCTTCCCTTTAGGGAGTATAGATTACTTGCACAGGGTAGTCAGACATCTTTACATGGTAATTATCTTCCAAGATGTCAAAAACTAAAGTTCCCAGGCAGAAGCCCAATAGCACCATTTTTGCCTCAGTGTATTGTCCACAGCAGTACGAGGGCCAACATTCAAAGAAGGGAAAATAGATTTCATCTTTTGGTGAGACAGTGACATGAATGTAGAAGGATGCAGGAGTTGATGTTGACAATAATATGTCACAGTGCTCAGCCCTCTCCCTATAGATGACTCCCAGGACCACAATTTTTTATGGTCCTTAGGTCAATTCTGCCTGGAATCACTATTGCTCCTTAATCTTTCAAGTTCTTTATTTGCTCATTCATTTATTTTACATGCATAATTCTACTCCAGAATTAAAATATTTTCAAAAATATTCATTGAAATAAAACCAAAGTGCACAATATGGTTGCATAAACACATGAAAAACGTCTGGAAGGATAAACAGACAAGATAACATTGGTTACATTTGAGGGAAGGATGGGAAAGAGTCCTTCAAAAGAAAATAATTTTTCTTTTTCATTTGTTGCTTTCTGTATGGTTCTTTACAGTGATAATTTATCATTTTCATAAGGCAGAAATTTATTTCATCCATTTGAACTAAGGCTAAAAATAAATGTTTATTATCAAAAGAATATCAAATAACCAGAGAGGAAACTCAAATCTATTTTCATTTTTAAATAAATGAGCACACAAATTTCCAGCATGTAAGCCTAAAGGTCAGTTCAGTGTCTGCTGCTCCACAGAAATATCCATGGATGTCTTCCATAAATACTACAGAGTAGAGATGTTATGACGTACACAGGTTGTGTCTTAGTCTGTGTAATTTATCATCCTTATATCAATGATCTCAATTATATTTATTTTTACACTTTTTACTGCTTAGTAACTTTTGTTGTTCAAAGAAAACAAAATGGTGGCACATACCTGAGGCAGGAGAATCATAAGTTCAAAGCCAACCCAGGCAACTGAGATCACATTTCAAAAAAAAAGATTTCAAAAGGGCTGGGAATGTAGCTCAGTGGTAGAGCGCTTGCATAGCATGTGTTGGCCCTGGATTCAATCCCCAACAACAAATAAATATTTTTTTTCTCCAGAAATAATCATGTTTCTACAATGACACCACCTTTTTCCATTCAAGGCAATGGAAGACTGCTTTATGTCTCAAGAGTATGAGAGCTAGAAGAAATCTCAAAAACTGCCTGGTTAAGCAGTCCCACTTTACAAATTAAGATAATAAGACCCAACAGTTTAGATGCCCAAATAATATAAAACTCAGAGAAAGATCTTTGACTGGAGTTTGGTAAATTTCCTGATACACTATCAGTAAATAAAGATGGAAGAAAACCTGGCCTTTATAGAAACCTAAACAAATAGAGAAAATTTTAACTAGAGATGGCTTTTAATGGAATTTTCAAGCATTGCGTAGAAGTGAACAGAGGGAGTAAGGAGGGTGCCTGAGTAGAAATGATAAATAGGGTTTGGAATAGGGAAAGATGAGGAGAGTGAAAAATATGATTACTAATGCTTACTCTGCCCTTATGTGTTCTGAAATCAGCTCATGACTAGGACATTAAGATTCAAAATACAAGTTGCCTCATGTTGTAAGTTTGTTTCTCCCTTCAGTTCCTAAGACCATTGGTAGAATATCTTCCAAGCAAGGATGTAAAGGAAGCAATCATATTGTGACTGAAAAAGAAAAGGACTCTGAGACTCCACTCCCTTTGGAGAGGAAGAGAACATCAAAATTCATGAGGAATAAGGGGAACACTGCCACCTGCTGAACAGTTTGAGTCAATAAAAATGCTGCCCTACAGAGATAAAGGCAGCCCTTAGTCATGGCTGAAAACTAATCAACAGATACATTTACAGTCATGTAGATCAGCATAGAAAGTTTAATTTTGAATTCACCAGGCCCCATTGTGTTGGAGAAACAGTCTACAGAATGAGGGGAGAGGGGCCTCCATCTCTATTTTCTTTTCTTCTGCGAATATTTATACCTATTTATTCCTATAATCTAAATTTCAAAATACTAGAATACTGTACACTGGTTGTATCCAGATACAAATAACATGAGAAGGGAAAACAACAAAGAAATTTATCCAAGTCATACTTGCATGTGATTAAAAATTCCCAGTGGGCTAGGCATGGAGGTGCACACCTGTAATCCCAGGACTGGGGAGGCTAAGGCAGGAGGATAACTGCAAGTTCAAGGCTAGCCTCAGCTGCATAGTGAGTTCAAGGTCAGCCTAAACTGCATAGTGAGACCTTGTCTCAAAAAACAAACCAAATAAATTTTTTAAAATTTCCCAATGTCTCCTCATTCCCCTTTCCCATCTAAATGAGTTTTTATTATTTTTGCTCTTCCCATTTTTTCCTCTTCTATTCATAATGCACACACACACACACACACACACACACACACACACTCTCACAGAGGACAATTGCAAGAGAGGGCTGGGAGAAAATTGTTGATCCTTTGGTACAGTTTTGGTCTTTTTCCTCTTTCATCTGTCTTTCCACTCTGTTCTCCTGCACTCTATTGGCGTTCTTTTGCTTCATGGCCCCATTTTTCTCTTCCACACAGTATATTTCAAGATCTCCTTACTAATATACAAAAAAATTATATGACTGGGAGACCAGGTAGGAAGATGATA